CCTCTCCAGCGAGAACGCGGCCTTCGTCCAGTACCCAGCCAAAGCCGTCTGGCCGGCCAATCAGGAAGCCGGGCGCCGTGTAATGACGTCCTGCTTTCTGATTGGCCGGGAGGCCGGCTCCATGCTCTCTTGTCATGAGATGACGAGCGAGCATAAAGCCAGCTTCCCGGCCCTGATTGGAGGGCTCCGGCTGGGTACCGGACGAAGGCCGCATTCTCGCTGGAGAGGCCCTGGGGGTGACAGGTTGCACATACTAAGGTAAGGTAACCTTACCTCACGAGGCCAGCTTCCTGATTGGCCAGCTTCCCGACCAATCAGGAAGCCAGGCAGCGCGTCATTACACGCTGCCCGGCTTCCTGATTGGCCGGGAAGTCGGCTCCATGCTCTCTCATCACAAGTGAGCCGCTTACCGGTCAATCACAACCATTCCTGATACCGGAAGTACTCGTGCTAGGCATCGGAGCATTTGGGCGAGTACGAGTACTTAACAGTATATAACAAAGCGCCAGCGGCTTACGTCCAAACAAGGAGAAACTCTGCAGTGATCTTTGTATGAACCGTGAATGAGGCAGGCTCTCAAAAAGGCTTCAGGGAAACCTCAATTCTGGAAAAACAAAACACAGAGAGCGCCTCCATCGCGTAAAAACATTTTAATAAAATAATTTAAACAGATGGTTCTGACAAACGAGGCGTGACCTCGGAAATGTTAACCATCAGGGAGGAAGAGTAGCCAGTGGGCTAAGCCTTTCATGCTTTTACCGTTTCATGCCTTTTTTAAACTTAATCCTTGTGAGTATGTTTTCATCTGTTTAAATTATTTTAATAAAATGTTTTTACTCGATGGAGGCGCTCTCTGTGTTTTGTTTTTCGAGTACGAGTACTTGCCCAAATACTCGGAATCGGCACCGATATCGATACTAGCATCGGTATCAGAAGCACTTCGGGGGTGGGAGGGGTAAAGACATACATTGTAATTATTTTATTTTGAATTGCAACAAATCCTCAATACTGGGGCCCAGCTACCCATGCCCCTTTTTTAACAAAAGCTTGCAAAATGCACTTAAAAAAAAGTCAGAAAAAAAGACAAGATTCAGCTACCATAGACTTCAATGGGGTTCAGCAAAATGTTCAGGGTTAGCAGACTTTTGCTGGGCTCGCAAAAAAACCTTCTGCAAACTGTTCACTTATCCACATCCAGGGCAGTCGAAAGAAGTTTCAGTAAATCTCAAGAGCTATTGCAAGATTGGTTCACCCTTAAAAACCACCAAGAATCACCTTAACCCCTTCATGACTGAGCTAGTTTTCAGGTTCTGTTCATAAATGACTGACACATTTTTTACATTTAAACCCAAGAACAAAAATGTTCATATATAGCATCTTACAAGTCCTTAGATGTGGTGATTGCATTCCTTTTCTTATTTCAGGACTTTTCCTCTTATTTTTTTTCACTTATTGAAAAGATATAACAAAACACTTTAAATTGTAAATTCAGCAGGACAAAATTGGGAAAATATGAAAAGTTTATTATTAGGGTATACGTACACTTTAATTTCACCTTTGCTTTTAACTTTAATGCCTTTTACCAAAATGAAGTGAAAAAACTCAGTTTCACCTTTTCCTGCTCAATGCTATTGTGAGGCCTAATTTCCAAATATTACTGTGTTATCATGTTAGATCATATTGAGGTCGATCAACCTGCAGAACCTTAAAGCAACCACAAAAAATGCTTGCATGGCCAACCAAAAGAAATTGTAAATTTTAGGATACAATTCAGGAATTGTGATTAAAAGAACAACACTAGAAAAGCCACCACAAAGGACACATCAGGAACTGATTACAAATGCAAACAGCCATGTCAGGGCTTGACTGCCAAACATAATGTTTATTAGTGATACTGGTCACATATCTCGTCACCTTTGTTACTTTACCTTTCTGCTTTATAATGATTACTTTATAATAATAGGCTTAACTTGAGCCACTCAAAGTAAAATGTACAGCGTGATCATGTTACAGAGATCCATACATTACCTACTGTAGAGCAGACAAGTATTTTCAGCTGAGCCAAAGAACAAGTTTTTGTACTTTTTTTTTGTGCCTGGAATTTCCTTGACTCTGAAGCTTTTGTAGGACTATGTGTCAACACATTTCTAAACCATTTATATGCCTCACAGTATAAATTATTCCTTCTAACACTTATAACAGTATTTCCTAAGTGTGAGATTTGCATTGATGGTGGTACACACCCGCAAGGTGGGTAGCACACTGTCTTAAAAAGTAAATTTGATGAAGGCAGAACTCATATAAGCTAACAGTTTCCGGTTCAAAATCAAATCAAAATACTTCCTAGTGCCGCAGTTACTTTAGTAGAATATGCTCATCCTAGTGACATCTGGGAAGCACTAGAGGAGACATAGTGAGTTCATTAATGAGTAAAAGTGACTTTTCCTTTAAGTTTAGAGCAACGTTCAGATTAGGTGCTTACTCGAGCACCTAACAGCAGAACATGGCATAGCAGTCATTTGAAGAAAAGCATGACAAAGATGGGTGAACTAAAAGGAAACAGGAGGGAGGTACAGCTGAAAGGCTCAACTGATGCTATGTCCTGCAAGGAGGTGGCACATTTTTCATTCTGTCTGTGAATTAGGAATAGCAGCTTATGTTAGTGTTCGGACATGGCAAAGGTTGTGACAGTGGTACACAGCTGCTGAAAGTTTGAAAAACTCTGACCTATACAGTTTGATGCCTGATTCTCTCTCCAGGTCTGCCCACAGCTGGTAACTCTCCTCCATCATGTTGGTGTAAAAGTCTTCTGCATAGGCTCTGCGGATAATTCTTGTTTGTCCATGGGAGCTGCCTCTGGAGTGAGGAAGGGGGAACTGAAAAACAAATGAACAGGGATGCATTTATTTACACTGTAGAAGTTAACATACATTTCTTTAATGAAGTGAGCAATAGACGTTATAAATAGGCAATATTTACTCATTCCAAATATAGTAAGAGCTCACATCCATGGTGACCATATGTCCTCACATCTCAAGAAAGTTGCTACTTGGCAGAAGGCAGTCTCACGACTGGCAAGTTTATCTCATTATGCTTCAATCTCATTATGTCTCAGCATGCACTACTATATACAGTGTATTCGAATATTAAATCATAGTTTTATATTCCATCCTCTTTAGCATCTGAAATCTTGAAATCCTATCAACATGGAACTCCCTGCTAAGCAAAGGTCAAGGTTAAATGTGTATGAAATTTAAACTACAATCCTTTTGCCACCTTCCTCATATTATTCTGATGAGAGATTTCCAGATGTTTTCCACTGCTAGGAATTATGGGATAAGTTATGGTTTAATTTCCTTCCCTTAGAAGTCTTTAGGCTTCTGACAGATGAGGAGAAATATCTGTAAGTAACTTAAGGACAGAGGCAGCAATGAGACCCATCAGTGTTATCGGGATACAAATATAAAGGAGAAAACAAGATAACTCTCAAAGAAAACTCTTCCCGTCAATAGTAGAGTCAGGACACAGCTTTACTGAACTATATTGTACCCTCTTTCATTTCTACACATTGTATACAAGAATACTTTACTTGTACCGGTTATACATTTACATGGAAAACCGTAGTGTGCTTAGCAAACAACACACAATTCACATGCCATGTTTTATTGAAGCCAATGAAGAAAATGCTGGCTACAGAGGTGAGTATTCAGAATCAACAATAAAGAAAATGAAGTAGGACTTGTCCTGTCTCCTTGTATACAAGCCCCATTATTGCCTACTGTGTATAATGTGTTTCTTTTGCCAACAGTTCCTTTATAAAGTCAAAGGAACCCCATGTGCACTACCATATGACTGCTGAGTAGAGCTAAAAGCATACATATTTTGAAGAGATGGATATTATTAAGAGATAATATTAAGTCCTGGGAAATAGTTTTTGGTAAATTTGAAAATAATTACTGAAGGATTGAGAAGGTTGACTGATTTTGGAAATTACAATTTTAGTAGTTAGACCATCAGGGCAATATTAATTCTTTATTTTTAGCATCTGGTTGTCTGAATCATTTTTATACATTACTTATTTACTATTGCAAGTAAACGTTAGGAAAATGTTTGGAAAAACCTGAATTTCTGTAAGACTGTCTGCGAAAATGTGGCCCGATCTTCATCTAAATAAAAGTCCTAATCAACAGAAAAATCCACATTCAAATAATACGTTTCGAATGAAGTGAAAAAGAGGAAGAACCCCTTTCAGGTTTTTATTTCTGTCTGCGTGACTGCAGGACGGATTCATCCACTCTGTGAACCAGAGGGGGACCATTGTCACTGGAACAGAAAGAGCTGGGAAATTTTAAATGTATCAGTTGTCACCTAAATAGGAGGTAAGGAGGTATTTGTGTGTGGGGACACACACCCACTCATGCACCATAATAAAAAAACAAAAGAAAGAAAAACTGACATGGGTTTTTTTCCTACCTTATTCTAAACGCAGAAACGTTTTGCTCTTAGATATACTATAAATGCAATTTTCACTGTGTGGCCTAGCTTGGGCTGGTGAAGTCTATCATGCCTCGGTACGTTTTTTTTCTACATACAGCCCAGTGCATAAATAGGTTCAGAATGGGTAATGACAGTCATTGCCTTCACCCCAGTGCAGGTGCCAGCTAGAGAGCCATTGTTCTTTATGGCCAATTCCTGTCCATAGTCCAAATCGCATTCCAGGCTATATTTGTAAAACTCACTAGGGAAGAAGAAATGACTCCTGCAGTTCAAAACAGGATAGCTGTGAAAAATTGAATTTAAGCATGATTAGCTTTATATACTAATTTCTGAAGCAGTAACTGTTGGTGTAAGTGGCGGTGGGTCTGAGTTTTTATCCAAAAGTAAATCTTTCCTTCAAGGACTATTATGCTTTGTGTATTAACTGCGATTAAACTTGAGATTTGTACTCATTTATACATCTGTTCTCTTATAGCATTATTCTAATTAATCTTGTGGAAATGTAAATCTAAAAATATCTGGTCCCTTTGTTACATCAAGTTAAAAAACAGAACCAGAATATTTAAAACATAAAAAATTAATCGATCTGTTGAACTAAAAAATAAAAGACATCTTTAATTTGCAGTATGGATTTGTGTCTATTATATGAAGTATGGATAGTTTTGAGGGTAAGATGGGATCTGGAATGGCATACATAAAAGTGGACCGGGATAACTAATTCTCTATCAAGTACTAACCAAATGTTATAGTTGAGCAGTTTCTACTTCGTTCCCCATGTAACATCAGTATGTTGTTTCCATCATCTCCGTATAAATGTGAGAGTTACGAAAAGCTTTACATCTAATGAAAAATCAAAGGTGCTGTACTGGATACAAAAGAATTAACATGTCCTGCTTCCATAGGAAAACAACATGGTTCATCATCACTGTGGTGGTAGACTCATTGACTTATAGTAGGCAACACTGTGGCATAGTGAAGAGTCACATTCCGTTTAATAGTCCAGATACATCTTCATTCATTGTAGGGTTGAGGAGACAGTATAGAAATTGCCAAAACGTTTCCAGGGCTCATACAAATACCCCTTTCATCAGGAATTACTATGAGAGAACATGTAGCAGGGCTGTGATGGCTTGAGATTTGATAGGTAGCACTGTGACTTAGTGGTTAGCACTTCTGCCATGCAACACTGGGGGTCCCCGGTTCAAATCCTGGTCAGGACACTATCTGCAACTAGTTTGTATGTTCTCCCTGTGCTTGTGTGGATTTCCTCCCACACTCCAAACACATGCTGGTAGGTTAATTTTCTTCTGTCTAAACTGGCCTTGTATGCACATGAGATAGGGACCTTAGATTGTAAGCTCCTTGAGGGCAGGGGCTGATGTGGGCTGTGTAAATTGTCGGTGCTATATAAATACTGCATCAAATAATATTTACCAACAAGAGCGTAACTAGAAATCACAGGGCCCCATAGCAAACTTTTGTATGGGGCCCTGTGATATCTAGTTACACCCCTTGCAGAGCCCACTTGAAATCCCACACAGCCCAACTGAGGGTAACCCTGCAGAGCCCACCATAGAGTCTATATGATGGGCTCTGCAGGGTCTCAGGTGGGCTGGTCACACTCCTCACCTGTCCGCCTCCTCTTCCTCCACGATCGCTGATGGGCCCCGCCTCCTCTTCCATCACCGGGCCCTCCTTCTCTGCTGCCGACCCCGGGCCCCGCCTCCTCCTCCACTGCCAGGTCCAGCCTCCTCCACCGCCGCTGCTGGCTCTCACTGACTCAGCAGCGGCTGTGGAGAGGAACACACCGCTGCACAGATCACTGTCAATGATCTGAACAGCGGCATGTTCCACTCCACAGCCGTCAATGAAAGCCACCAGCATGAGATGCCACAGCGACCCACACGGCATCCGGGATGTCCTTGCTGGGCCCCCCTGAGCTCCGGGCCCCATAACGGCCACCTGGGTAGCTATGGCGATTGTTACGCCACTGTTAACATTAATGTGTATGTAAAGCCAAAATATTTTTTAATATTAGTGGGAACAGTAAGAACCCCTGTTAGGTTTTTACTGCTGTCTGTGCACCCATGGAGCAGAAAATCTAAAATTGTCACCAGAACAAGATGACAAGTGGAATTGACCACTAGGGACATCTGTCCCAGTGAAAGTGGGATTCAGTAATGAATTGCAGAGGCACTTTTGAATTACAGTACTCTTAAATGTGATTCTAATGAGTATTTAGTAATTTACCACTGAGAATGTTGGGAACTGTGCGGTCTCAACCATTTATGGCCATATGAAAAGTGATCTAATGGTGCACATATATGAGGTCTGGCTCTGCCAGTAAAGGTATACGAGGGTAATAATATAATTGTATTACACTGGAGCAGGGGCGGACTGACAACACATGGGGCCCCCAGGCAATACAAGATTATGGGGCCCCCTTGTGCTCCGCCCATATACAAGTCCCTCCCTCACGCCCCACCTGCATAGACATTCTTGTGTCACAGAAATTTTTTCAAATAGTGGGCCAATTCACTAAGAGATGAATTGCCGGGGAACTGGTGGGAGAATTTCAGAATCTAGACCAATATAGGCAATGTGAAAGTGAGCTAAATGGCAGAATGCATGGCAGACCTCAGACCGGAACCAATACACGTCACACTTCAGACCAGAACCAATACATGGCAGAACTCGGGCCGGAACCAATACACGGCAGATCGGGCAGTTAGAATGACACATAAACAGTGGGATCAGCCATCACACACAGTCTGATCCCTGTGGGATGTCATCCACACACACGCGTTAATGGGCAGCTCCTTCCATGCCAGCACACATGCTCTCCTTTAGCAGGTGGGTGCAGCTGTGTTAAAGCAGTGACGGCAGTGTCTGTTGGACCCGGGAGGTGGGGGACACTGCCCCTGCCACTTTAACACAGCCGCATCTACTAGTTTGGCTGCGGCTCAGCCGAAAACAGCAAAGAGATGGCGCACACAGCTGCCTTTCCTTTAGTGGCGACTCTAGGAACAATATATGGGAGGGCACATAAGATACTACAGGCAAATCTGGGGGGGGGGGCACTAATAATTTTCATTGCATGTTGCAACCGCTGGGAGCAGAGAGCTGATTTAATTGCGGATGGCATCTGTGCCCCGCGGTTGTGACATGTAGTCCAATGCCGAACACAATCCTGAATACCGCAACCGTCGCGCACCGATGCCATCCACAATTAAATCAGCTATCGGTGCCTGGTAGGTGAGGAATACAGCATGGGCTTACTGGCAACTTTTAGCAAAGGGGCAAGTACGACCCAGAGGCCCATGGTGAAGCAACTTGGCCCCCTCCCACTCTGCCTCTTCCCCCGCCCCTGCATGCCACT